TTGTCTCCAACTAATATTAGAACGCATGCCTAGTCAATGGAGACCCTCAGCGCTGACAAACTTGTAGCTTACCGGCATGATGCAACTCTCATGATTTCCAGTGGATCCCCCGCTGTATAAGAAACATAGATAAAGGCTCTGCGGACGTCTCATGACGAAGCGTTTGGTGGCTGACCAGCATATCACGGAAAGACTGAAAAAGCTCTACGGCAACCGTCTCATCATCGCCGTGTTGCTGCAGAGTTTCTACTTCAAAATGGTCCAAACATACACAAGAGCTGAGATACTGGAGAACGCCAGACAAAGAACCTAACCGGGAAGTATGGGTGGACTGTCTCACAAGCCGAACATGCTGGCGCTCTGTCCTGCTGGAGAGGGCGAATGTGACTTTCACTCCAGCAGCACTGTCTCATGCAATGCTGCCGTATTTCTTCGCAGCAGGTCACCACAATTATGCCCGCTGCATCATGAGCTGGTATGTGCGACAGATGGAGCACCTTCCCCAGCGTGCCCGGGAGAACCTACTGGCAGGCGCACATGTCTGTCGGCATTCTGATGGCGGGACCTCAGTGCCAGCAGATCAGTTTGGCGAACAGACATATATCAAGCGAGGGAAGGGTGCTGGAGGTATGAAGGGCATATCGACGAGCGCCGAGCAAGTGGCTGTGTGGGTCAACAGTTTCAGTGTGTGTGTGCCCACCTCGACATCGCCATGGAAGATAATTATGTACAGTGAAGCTGGGGATGAGGAGAAGCCACATGGTCGAGTGGATGGAGAGGAGAAGAACAAGCACAAGGAGGAAGGAGAGGGAAGAAGAAGACTGGATGAGGTCGATCGGAGGAAGATCGCAGCAGAGCTGGAGAAGTACACTCACCCCCTCAACGAGCAGCATCCAGGTCTCTATAATATCTGCAATGGCCAAGTGGCGCCCGACACAGTGAATGTTCAGGATGCACTGACTATCGGGAGTGAGCAAAGCAAGCAGTTCTCCGCTTCACTAAGCAGTGACTTCCACAAAACCATAAAGAAAATGGTCAGATCAATGGAGGCACTCAAGAAGGCAGTCACTGTCAAGGGGAAGGCCATCTACGACATCGAGACACTGTTTAGTCGGCTGTTGGTCTTGGGGCAGCAGCGGAGCGTGGATCTATCCAACATCTTCCAGTTTGAACTGAGTCCAGTCCCAACATCCCTGATTGATGAGTATGGATGTTTGAGGAAGGGCAACAAGGCCGTGCTCGTCAAGTGTCTCGGTGTTTCTGTCAAGACTCCACCTGCTCCAGACGTGGTGTTGGTTGACGCCGGTCAGCTGCTGTACCACGTTGTGTGGCCAGTCGCTGGGACCGCAGGAGATCTGGCTGCAAGCTTTGGTGCTCGACTGGCCCACTTCCCCCCTGGCTCAAAGAAAATAGTCCTGTTCGACAGGTATGATCAAGAAGCTCCTAGGGCAAAGGAGCATGAGCAGATGAGAAGAGGAAGAGCCAAGGAAGTGCGGCTGACTCCAAACACACCCCTTCCATGCCGACAAGCTATTCTTCACAATGCCACGAACAAGAGTCTGCTCAACAACATCCTATGCGGCTACTCCCTTCCACACAACATCCAGCTTGTCAACAAGCTGGACTGTGTCGTCACCCATGCTGAGGCAGACATCACTCTCTGCAGCTACATGCTGAAGGCGGCAGCAGAAGATGCCCAGACAATCCGCATCCTATAGCAGGGAACTGTTGTTGCTACTGGCAATAATTACAAGGCCTGATGAATGAGGGCTGCTGAGGGGTTTACGAACTAGTCACTAGCTGTCCAGTGGAAAAAGACAAGGCGTACCTGGGTAATAGCCTGCTGATCTCGGCTGCAAGACAGCAGCAACCACTGATTACACACATATACGGAGTATAGAGCATGGTCTGTAATATAGCTGTAGTCTGTGCAACAGAGCGTAGCTACGTATGAACTGCATGTGGGCAGGGGTCGAAATAAGCGATGGTCCGATGGTCCAGGGCCATCAAATAATCAGGAGGACCATCAGATTTTCAAAGTCAATGGTCCGACGGACTATATATTTATATAGAGTGATACTCTTATACTCTTTATACTTAAAGTGCGTGCGGTGTACTCATGTGTTGCAGAGGAGCATATGAACGGCATTTACAGCAAGTTATCGGCAACAATAAGCGAAAGAGAGTAAAGAAACATTAAGACTTTGGTAGTAAATACATTTCGTGTTTATTTACCATCATTTTACTATTGAAGCGTTCCAAGTGCCTGTGGGACAGACGGAGTTATAAAGGTCCTGCGGCTGTTTTTGTTTGGTGCGACTACTTGCGAAATCAGTCTAACCGCGTGTCACTAATACTGTATATATATATATATATATATATATACGTGCAAGCGTGCAGGCGGCGTGGCTGCCCGCGTGCGTATGTGCAGGCAGGCGTGTGTGTATGTGTGTCTGCTATAGCAGGCCTGATTCCAATTGCATTATCAACTTGACTCGCCGCTTGAGTTCAAACGCGCGGTTCCGAACACAGGCACTTGGAACGTCTCAATAAAAAAAATAATGGTAAATAAACACGAAATGTACCAAAGTCTTAATGTTTCTCTACTCTATTTCGCCTATGATCACCTGTAAATGCCGGTCAAATGCTCATCTGCAACACACAAGTACACCGCACGCCCGCCCGCGCTGTGCTGCGTGCACAAACAACATGAATAAGAGAGTGTGTGCCTTCTCTCTTCTCTCTCCCCTCTTTCAGCCCCCTCTCTTTCCCCTCTCTCCTCTCCCCCCCCCTCTCTCTCCCTCTCCTCTCTCTCCTCTCTCTCCT